TGCTATTTTATATTATATTATTTTCACATTAACTTCTATGGAACTATTATTTCAATTGAAAAGCTACTTTAAAAATCTAACCAATGAATTAAATTTTCTCTCATTAGTGTATTCAACATATTCCTGTCAGGGATTATACCTAGAATTCAATGTATCAGCATGCACAAAAATAGTCTGCTTATACATAAAATACAAAATACTAATTCCTCTCTTCTATGTACACTATTTGGCAAAACATATTTTTAAAGTCTTCTACCATTCAAAACCTTTTTATAATAATGTTTTTCTCTTCAGAATTATGAATCCATATATAATTAATGTAATTGTTTTTTAAAAATCATCAATGGCATTACGGCCCTATTTTTGAAAGATTTTTGGTCCATCCAAAAATCCAAGAAGTCAGCCTATCTCACTTACAAAGAACCACAGATAAAAGTCCCATCTGCTTCCATCTCACCAATGTCCTGAATCATTCAATTAAATAAAACCCACAGTTCAAAGACTCCAGAGCATCTCTCCTCCAGATGCCTCTATTTGATAATGTCACCTGACTCATTCTTTTCAATCTTAGCCATTTTATACATTTTTGACATTGTCTAGATTGCTCTTTCTTACCTATCATTTCTAAACATCCCTGTGATTTCTAAAAAGATTAACTGCATTCAAATGTCTTAACWACAATAAATAATCAGGAAATCCAAAKATATGAACAGATTACTCTTTCTACTACATTTATAATACCTAAAGCTTTTATATTTATTGTATATTTAAAATAAGTAAAAATAAAATTCAAGAAACTATTTCATAGAGAATATATTACTTGGGCTGGGGATGTAGATCAGGAAAAGAGTATTTGCCTACCATGTGTAAGGCCCTGGGTTCAATCCCCAGTAACACACACACAYACACACACACACACACACACACACACAAATGCGGTATTACTTACCTGTTTTTATTTTATTTTTATCCATAATAATTCATATAGTTGATAGCTGAACTTAAAAAAATATTTTCTAAATGTTGCAGACTGGACACACAGAGAAGAGATCATAGCAAAGATGTGTAAATAAAGCACAGCATATGGGCAGCAGGCCCAGAAATAAGGGTGTTGGAAAAGTTGAAAAGAGCTGATTGGGGTAATGCTRTCCATTCACCAGATGTTTCCACCTATTCTCCCCCAAACACATGAAGACTCACTTCCCAKCTGGTTTGTCTCTGGAGACAGGGGACTAGGCCCTTTAATGCTTTATGGTACAGAGAAGCTAAGTCCACCCTGCCCTCATGGTGCTATAYCAGACTGTGACATGTAGTTTTTATAACCATCAAAGAAGTTAATTAATCCTATGTCAACAATATGTATATATTTGAACCTCATAGTGTATGCAGTATACACTACGTAGGGATATACTGCCTCAACATATGACTATGGATAATACTGATTTCCATTTGATTAAAAGGATTAGGAGTTCAATGCCAGCCTCAGCAAAAGCAAGGTGCTAAGAAACTCTGTGAGACCCTATCTCTAAATAAAATACAAAATACAGCTGGGGGATATGGCTCAGCGGTTGAGTGCCCATGAGTTCAATCCCTGGTACCAAAAATAAACAAATAAATAAATATATATATATATATAAAATTTCAATTCTGCAGGAAATTTTTTAACCAGCATATTTTTGGGTATGAAATTGGGCCACTAAAGGGAGTTATATTTTATATGTGCCTTTCATTTAAATAATGATTAATTGGGATACCCATCTAGGCACAGTGGCACATGCCTATAATCCCAGAAATTTGAAAGGCTGAGGCAGGAGGATCACCAAGTTTGAGGTCAGTCTCAGCAAATTAGCAAGGCCATAAGCTAAAATTTAATGAGGAGGGAGGGAGGGAGGGAGGAAGGAAAGAAGGAAGGAAGGAAGGAAAGAAGGAAGAAAGGGGAAAAGAAGAGAAGAGAAGAATGGGGAGGGAGGGAGAGAGAGAGGGAGGGAGGAATTGAGGAGGCAGCTCAGTAGGAAAGCATCCCTGGGTTTAATCTCCAACACCCAAATAAATAAATAAAACCTAACTCTATAACTTACTGCCTCCGTAAAATGGAATTAAGATATGTAAGCTCACCAACCATCAGTTTCCTGGTCTGTCTAAAGGTGTCTGACAATACTACCTCACAGGTTTTGTGAAAAACACTTGAAATATGTCCAATATCTGGCTCTAGAGACAGACTCTGGATTTAAATCCTGGTGTGTAACTTTAACAAGCTTTTAACTTTCCTAATCTTCAAGTTCCTCATCTATAAAATGCTTATAATGATAAAATTTACCTGATAAGGTAATTGTGAGAATTCAATTGAATAGTTCACATGTCTTCACAATATAGCACTATGTCCAGCACCTCAGTGTTCAGAAAGTGCTTCAAAACCAGGCACAAAGGCATATGTCTGAAATCCCAGAGACTAAGGAAGCTGAGGCAGGAGGATCAGATGTCTGAGGCCAGGCTCAAGATCTTGWCTCAAAATAATATAAAATTAAAAGGGCCTCAGCTGTAGATCAGAGGTAGAGAGACCCTGAGTTTAATCCCTAGTACTGAAAAAARAAAATTTAAAGAGTCTTAAAACTAGGCAAATACAACATGGATTATCTCACTTAATCCTCTCAGCAACCTTATAAAACTGAATAAAAAAGATGAAGGTTTCTACTTCAATTATTAGAACAAAAAAATAAATAGCATCCATATTAAATTATGAAAGGCTGTAGTAGTTCATTGTGCTAATCTGATTGGGGATATTTTCCTTTGAAAAGAGAAGCATCTTTCCTCTAACCAAGATTATGTATTATGATCATCAAAATTGCCTGCTATACAAGTAAAATCTATAGGAGACTGAAACTCAAAGTAGGTTTAACTTAAAATGAGATTAAATGGAAGAAACTAGCGGAAAATCATTCRTAAATGAAGATTAAAGGAATAAAAGTAATTCAGGGCCCCAGTCTCCCAACATCCCAGGCAAACCCCCTCTAGACAGTGCGGCTCTGTCTCCTCATAGAAAATCCCAGAAAAGAAATCAGAATGGCTGGGCTTGAGCCACATGCTACATCTTGAGACCATGGAAGTCAGATGATGACCGGAGCCTCCTCAGAACCACATGGAGTGAGGTGCAAGCACTGGAGATGGGGAAAATGTGGTTCCAGGAAAAGAAGGACCAAGAGGTGCTGAGATCATTGGGAGAGCCATGCCCTACAACTCTAAGCCGAAGGCTTGAATTTGCCCCTGTAATGGAATTGTTTCTGAAAAGGACTTAGTAATATAAAKGTTACAGATTTCAGTGGAAAGTGTACATTATGGGTAAGTTCTTAGAGCTGACAAGTTAACTTTTTTAGATGCCTAATATTTTATTCTCCTAAGGAAATCTGCACCCAGAATCCTTAAAACATTTGTTTCTGGAATTTTGTATAGAATACTGCTTCAGACATGAGAAAACATCTCTACTTTAATAATACTGCAGAAGTTTGTAAAACAATGTCAGTTTTCAAAAACAGACAACAATGAGAAACATTTATTCATCAACAGAGAATGGATAAAGTGAGGCTGTGTGACCCATGAAGAAACTGTAATACATGCATGCAATGAATAGTCATACCAAGGACTGAGACTTATTCAGAAACATTTTATATGCCTCAGTTGTTCAGATGTTCTTTTCCTCATAGCCAAGAAGCATTGCTCAATTAATTCATGGACAAAGATGACTCCAGATATTTGGTTACAGTATATTAGTCTTATTTACAGGCCATCAGCTTGGTGATAAGAGAAGAGGCAAGTTTGTTTCCTTAGTAGTAACAATGATAGTACTTGGAATAATAATGGAAATAACTGCCATTTCTTAGAAGWAATATAATAACAATAAAAAAGGGTTATTCATACAATGAAATGGCAATGTTTACTACTTACTAATAACATTCTAATACTGTACAACTGTGTTCAATATTTATTGCAATGGTAATAAGCAATGAATATTCACACAATGGACTGCTACTCAGCAATGAAAAGGGAATAAACTCAGTGGTACAATTCAACATGTATGAATCTAACATTAGCTTGAACAAAAGAAGTCAAACACACAAGAGAATRTATACTGTGTGATTCCATTTCTATAATGCCCAAAAACATGTACATCTAATCTAAAAGCAATCAGGAAGTGTCTGAGCTTGGAGTAAGGAGAATGGATTTGGCAGGAAGTAATAGGAAGGGACTTACAGGAATGATTAAAATCTATTATGTTGTTTTGTACAGTGATTACTCGAAAGTATAGGGCAGTCAAAAACCCTTCAAATTGAACACTTAATATCTGTGCATTTCATTGTACATAAATTACACCAAAATAAAAACATGTTTTAAATTTAACTTTTCAAGGAAAAGAGTGATTTGCCAGAATAATTTTCTTAAATTCAAAACAAAATATACTTTGGACAGAACAAATCATTTGATATTTGAAATTTCCATTACAGCTAAGAAATTAGTGGTCACACATGTGTTTATAGTTATGATTCTGAGCTAACAGGAGGGTGAACTGCATCTCAGTTTGCTGTAGACAGTGACCCCAGCGTAGACCTGATATCACAGCATACCTGCTAACAGTGCCTCCTTCACGGTTAGAAGTAATCTAACTTAGAAGACACTTATGGTCACTTTAGCCAAAGGGGAATTTAGATACTATGTTGTATAATAACTCTTGGGCTTTTTCATTCCACCCACATTTACTAAGCACCCACATATAGCTCCTTTGTTCTTGCTACCACTTCACAGTGCATTTTTTGTTTCCAAAACCAAAATATAAAATAGCTAGATGAATTTTCCCTAAACAAAATTTACACCTATGGATACACTAAACAGAAGAAATGAATCAGAATTTTTTCTACATGAAAAATATAAATCCAGCTATTAAAAAGTTAAAATTTCTTAAGCTATGAAAAACAAAGCATATATTCACAAGTATAAAACAAAACCTTTACCTGCTGCTCTGTAAAGTATTTTAGGTTCAAAAAATATACAAGGATTTTTGTCCTCTATGCATGACAAAAGAAGTCCCTTGGCCTGGAAAGGGCTTCTGGGTATGACCACCTGCAAAAACAGATTTAAAAAAAAAAAAAAAAAACACACAATTTTAGTAAAAATGTATCCCAATAAACTTGTTTATAAGGGTTGATATTGAAGTAATCAACTTTACTAAAAATAGAAATTGATTCTTTATTTAACCTAATTACTATTATAAAATTTGCAAATTATCTAAAAAGTTCCTATCATTCAACAAATATTTATAAGATGACTTCCATGATCTGATAACTAAGATACTGCTCTTCTCTTAAGGAGATAAACTTACCTATTTAAAAAATGAAAGGAATTCACAAAGAGCATATATCGAAGCAAAAAAATAAAATCATCAATATCAATCTGTCTTTACCTATTAAGTAATCTCTTCTACTAATATTCTCCTTCTCCAGCTACATGCAAAGTGCACGTAACTATCTTCTCAACTTTAACACACCAAAATTTCCTTCCTCCCCATGAAAACTGCAGTCTTCATCTCATGAATGGAAAAGTAACCACTGAATTTTATGATCCAGGCACATTATGTCCCATTTTGGCAGAATAAAAAGCAATGTGTTCATGCTTCCAGGTGACAGGAAATGGCTCCAAGTCCTTGAAAACCAGGGTGATGATGAAGAAGATGATGGTCACGGGAAAGGGCAGGTGCTAATCTGCCAAGCACTGTGTGGATTAACTCATCTCATATTCACAGCACCCTCATGAGGAAGCTAGTATTGCTTTTCTCACGATAGAGATAGAGAGTGAGGTGTAAAGAGACAAGAAGAAGCTTGCCCAAGGTCAGACAGCTTGCCAGACAAGGATTCTCACCCAAGGATGGGGGCTACAGCCTGAGGTCTTAACTTCTATACAGTGTTGCCTGAAATCACAAACTTGTGTCTTAATTCTTAATGACTCTAAAATAATTGTATGACGACAAGGATTACATGGGAAAAATTATTTTTAAAAATAAGCCTGAATTTATCACAGAGATTCAAATAAGATTCATTGAGCAAACTACATGGGCTTTCAAGGTCATTTTTATGCCCTCTTTATTGAAGGAATTTTATTTAAAAAATAAAATAGCAGCACAAATCTAGTTCATTTTCTGTAAACAGGCTTCTGAACACAGAGTAACCACATCACATAGTATGTTTATTTTATATTCCTACTTTTCAGATTCTCTTTTTCTGCTTTCTCATATATTTACTTTTAACCTTTTTTATTATATGTATATTTTCATTTGATGTGGGAAACACAGAAAGAAAGCAGAAGAAATAAGAAAGAAAGAGGACAGGGAAAGAGGAGTTAGGGAACTGCGAAAAGGTCTGCTCTTTAAARCACTGAGTAATGTTAAAAACGTTCAGCTCAAACAAAAAATAGCTRTTGTCTCTAATGGAACAGTTGTCCTAGCCTACAACTTCTAGCTCATACTGAGCCAGCACAGAGCCACCACTCACATAGGAAAAATCTCATAGCTTTTGTCTGTGGAAAAAAACAAACCAGAATAAAACACATGTTCACAACCAAACGATGTCATCAAGAACAAACATCTCCATATTGAGATATCTGTGAGTTTCTACGATTCCCTGGAAAGATGTTCAGTAAATAAGAAATAGAAAAGATGATAGAACAAAATATTGACATAAAATACTCAAAATAATTTTATTATCCAAAAACTAAGCTCCTGTGAAGGCCAATCATGACAGTAAGATGTTTCCAAGTTAATTGTTTAAGACAGTATTACCTTACTCTAGATTAGGAAAATTACATCTAAGTAAGAACCTTCTCCCCATCTATGAACTAATAGCAAGTTTCATATCCCTCTGACTTCAAGGTAAATGTAAACTAAATGGCAGACTTATTTAAATCATCTCAGAAGCAGTTAAGTGAGAAAAACCCACTAGAGAGAAACATAAGGCTTTGAAAGAGGAGTAAGACAAACCAATGATGTTCTCAGTTATATTCTTTGAAATCTATGATGTCAATTATTGCCAATGTCAAGCCAGTATTTCTTCAAAAAGAACCATCTGTTAAACTGGGCATTGGATTTAAAAGAAATACCAGCCTCCCTGATTGGGGGGGGGGGGGCGCACAGGGAGTAGGGGGCTGTGTTTGTTTGCAGTACTGGGGATTAACCCCAGGGATGTTCTATCACTGAGCCACATCCCCAGCCCTTTTTATTTTTTATTTTGAGACAGGGTCTTATTAAGTTGCTAAGGCTGGCCTCAAACATGCAATTCCCCTGCCTCAGCCTCCTGAACATGCAATCCCCTTCCCTCAGCTTGGATTACAGGTAATATGCACCACCATTCCAGCATATCTTACTTAACAGTTAAATTCACATAAATTCCAAAATCCTGTTTGTYCCCAGATGAACACATTAGTTAATATTAACAGAATCAACCAAATGGAAATATCAAATGAGGATCTAATCAAGTAAATAAATGAGTATACCTTGATTCCTGGGCAATGGGCAAAAAAAGCTTCAGGACTCTGAGAATGATAAAGAGCCCCATGGCCAACACAGCCCCAAGGGGCCCGGATGGTGAGGCTTCCACAGTTGAAAAGATCCCCAGAGCGATAGCGATACTTGGCAGCTTCGTTAACAATCTGGGAAGAAGGAGAGAAGGCACATGTTGCAATGAGTCCTTCCTTCCCAGTCCATCTTCTAAAATCATCTATTAGAACTTTGATTATATTCCCATTAGAAAGTTATAACTGTAAAACACTAAGTTAGGGTTAACAAAATGTGCTAAGATGGACAATGGGAAGATGGATGCAATACTTCAATACTTCATGGATTTAGCAACCTCACGAATGCTCATTTACAATAAAATATGAAGCACTTACCTGATCAAAAGCAGGGAAAATGTAATCTGCAAACTGAATTTCAGCAATAGCAGTAGCACCAGTGACTGCAAGTCCAATTCCAAAACCAACAATTCCTTGCTCACACAATGGAGTATTAAAAACTCTGTCTTTTCCTTTAAAAAAAAAAAAAAAAGGAGGAAAAAAAGTAGACAACATGATACATGAGAGTAATGTAATGCATAACACATCTAAAATTTAGTAAGTTAATAATTGCAAAATGGAGAACTACAGAAGACATAGAGGAAACAGATAATAAATAGATGGGGATTGATTTAAATGTAATCAGCAATTATATTAACTGTAAGTAATCAAATGTTTCCATTGAAACACTGTCACGATGGAATAAAATAAAGCAAAACCCAGTCATTTAAAACATAAAGACAAATTTTAAACAAAAAGAAGGAAAAAATATACAATGAAAAACATAATCAAAAGTAAGCTGATATCACTGTTAATAGCAGACAAAGCCAACCTCAGGGTGAAAGGCATTACCAAAATTAAGAGGCAAAGTTTATATAGTTGAAGGGTTTGATTCACAAGAAAGACACAACAATCCTAAACCAAAATGTATCTGACAATAGACTCCAAATAAATGGGGAAAATCAACACAACACAAAGGAGAAATGGGCCAAGTCACAATATAATAAGGAGATATTTAACATACCCATTCTAATAACTGACATAGAAAGCATACCAAGAAAAAGGTTTAAAAGTATACAAGATGTGGACATGATTATAACTGACACACACAGGACATTACATCCAACAGCTAGGAATACAAACCCTTTTAAAGTAAACAGAGGCCACTTACATTAACTGTCCATATACTAAGCTATAAATCCTATTTTATTAGCTTTTAAAGAATTAAAATCATACAAGGTATATTCTCTGACCATGGTGGAATTAAGCAATAATTAACAAAAGAAAATTTAAAATCGTGGGCATACCAGGGATAGTGGTGCATGCCTATAATCCCAGCGGCTTGGGAGGCTAAGGCAGGAGGATCAAGARTTCAAAGCCAGACTCAGCAAAAGTGCACAGCTAAGCAACTCAGTGAGACCCTGTTTCTAAAGAAAATACAAAATAGGGCTGGGGATGTGGCTCAGTGGTCAAATGCCCCTGAGTTCAATTCCCGGTACCAAAATACAAAATTCCTAGTCAACTCTCTCTTAGGACCCGTCCCTGTGTAAGTAATGCTTCCTGTTTCAAAATGAAATTGTTACTTTGCTCTAAAAAAAAAAAAAAAAAAAAAAATCCTTATGGTAAATATATACCTCAACATATTGAAGCTTTAAAGACAATGGCAGAGTTGCCTCTTTCAGACTAAACCTCTGGCACTGAATGATTATAAATTCTAGGCAAAATGGAGACAGCTAGAAGTCAAACAAACAGACTCAATCTTTTTTTATTTTTTAAATATTTTTTTAGTTGTAAATGGACACAATACCTCTATTTATTTTATGTGGTGCTGAGGATTGTACCCAGTGCTTCATGCATGTGAAACAAGTGTTCTGCCACCAAGCTACAACCCCAGCCCCAGACTCAATCTTAATTGGGGTCGGAGAACCCTGCCTGGGGCTGCCAGTGGCTGGAAATGGAAGATGTAAAGCCCTTAAAGAAGGCATATGTGGTGGTGCCCCAAACTGTACACAAACAACTCAAACACTCAATGACCCCTATACCTCCAGGACCCTCCAAAAAATCCAACAGAAAATAACCTCTGAAAGTGGAAAGAGCTGAGCAGAAATTTCACCTGTGCCCAATGAAGCGGTGACAGAATGAGTGTAAGACTAAAGTAGAGGAGTTCGATATACCCCTCTAGCTTCTCATCAAACCCACAGGTACAACTTTATTAACATACCACTCAATTGTCATTTAAAATTTTACCACCTCTCAGATACTGCTGGCATTTCATGACAAATTCATTTCACATCAAATTCTATTTGGGGGACTGAGTGGATGCAAACAATGGCCACAATCTGGCCAAGTAGACAAATGTTTTGTGACAGATCTAATAGTCATACTTCATTTCTATAACCCAGGGCCATCAGTTCTTTTTAGTACATAGAATTCACTTTCAGCTCAACCATTTTCTTTAAATATAAAACACAAATAGGGCAGGTGTGGGAAATGCCAACTAGACACATCTTGTAGTTTGAAACTAAATTCAGCTGCAAAAACTTAAAAGCATGATTCATTCTCATCATGATCTATGACTATCTTCTGAAAGTGTGACCTCAATTCCTCACAATCCCATTTGACAGCAAGTAGCTTGATAATTTTTGAAAACCTATGATTCCTTTAAACTAAGAACAATTCAGTGGTAGAAATGAACATAAAATTCTAGTAGCCAGCAGCAGAATCCACATTCCTAGAACACCTGATCCACCTTAGCCAAACAAGGAGCATTCTTATATATTCCTTGATGCTTCAAACCCACAGGATGCAGGAATTTGGGATCTGTGTAAGAAAATATAGCCACTAGAAGGCAGAAAAAATAGTACATTTCTCAGAACTCTTTTGCTCCAAAGAAAGCAGCCCAACAAATATCTCCAACTTGTTTGCATGATATAAAAGGAAGTGTTTCAATGTGAAAAATCTGTTTTTGTTTTCTCCCAAATATTGATGGAGGGTAGAAATACTAATAAGGTGCACAATATTAATAACTTCCTCTCTCATAATGCAATTAACACAATGTAAAGTTCATGCACAGACTAGATGGTAGATGAATTAATACAGTGATTACACTATGAGACAAGGMAGACCAGGATTTAGGTGTTATCTGCACAAATGACTAACATTCCCTAAGACTCTGCTCCTTACATGTAACAGAAGAATCATGATGTTGAAAAGACAAAAATAATTCAGACACTCCCTCGACAAATGTTTATAAAGTATTTAACATACAAACACTTTTTTCTGCGTGTTAAGGAAAACAGCAGAAAGAAAAATGAAACAATTTTTATCTTCATGAAGTTCATATTCTAGTTAACAGAAGCAGATGATAAAAACAAAATAAAGAAGTAAAATAATTTATGGTGGTAAATGCTATGGAGAAAAGCAAGTCAGAGAGTGGTGCAGGGTGGGACTACTGTGATCTCAAATAGGGAGATGGAAATCAGGAATGCCTCTGAAAGGCAATATTTAAGAAAAGAATTGAAAAAAAAATGAGGAGTGTAGCATACGTATATTCAAGGGAACAGACGTCTGGGCAGAGTGACCAGCAAGAACAAAGACTTTGGTAAAATCAAGGTTAGCATACCAGAGAGCAAGTGGGTATGAGAAACCCTGGCAAGACACAAACTCAAGAGTAATGAAGATGAGATGAAGAGGCAGCTGATCAGCAGGGCCTGTAGACCACGGTGTTTACTTTCACTGAGGAGAACCAGTGAGTCAGAAAGCAGGTGAGGGAGGGAAACAGGAAGTCATACAGCAAAGCCTTGCTGTCCTCTGAGTCCCATTTCAACAGGATCCCCTCTGGCTGGTATTCTGTGAATAGCCTGTCAACAGCAAGGGAGGGCACAGCAAGGCTGATTACAGGATAGTGTGATATTCCCAGCAGAGATGATGACGCAAGATAACAGAGAAGGTGGAAAAAGAAGGGGTGAGACTGGATATATTCTAAAAACAAAGTCAAAAAGATGTGCTGATAAAATTCATGTAGACTGTGAGTCAGAGAAATGCTAAGGATGATTCAAAGGCTTTTGGCCTGAGTAACCTGAGTGGAGAGTTCAGTTTGGGAGACATTTACTGTGAGATGCCTTCAGACGGAAGGTAGAACTGTCAGACTGCTGGATATGAGGTAGAAGCCTCCAGCATAATGAATGGGATAGGATACAATTACTTAGTAAATTAAAATGAAGGACACAAGAGTGGTTGTGGATGCTACAATATTAAGAGAACAGCAGGTGATGGATAATCAGGCCAAAGAGTTAGGAGGAAAACTAGAAAAATGCTGGCCTAGGGGCCAAATGAAGAAAGCATTTCCACTGAAGAAAGTGATCAGTGATCAACTTTTGTCATGCACTATTAGACAGTGAGATGAGGGCTGAGAATTTTATCACTGATGACAGAAAGCTTAACTATAGTAAATTCAAATGAGAAATTGAAGAAAATGAGTAGTTACAAGTACATGGAGAAATTCTGCTATAAAGAAGAAAAGGGCAGCAGTCACCAGCTGAAGGGAACAGTATAGAATGGAAGAAATAACATATTTGCATACTAATGGGAATGATGTGTAGACAAGGGGAAACTGATGAATTTGAGAAAATTACTGAAATGGAGAGAATAATGACAGGAACCACATCTTTGAGAAGGAGACTGCAGAGGAAGGGGTTCAGGTGCCTGATATTCATTCAAAGTCCAGGAGTCAAGGAGCATAAGGGCACTGATGCCAGCACATGGACAGAGTCAGGGGTGAGGGGTGCCCAAGCGCTCTATAGTGGCAGTTACTTATATTTTTAAATAAAATAAGAAACTAGATTATTAATAAGGAAGGATGGGAAAAGCCATTTGAAGGAAGAAATACACAAGACTGAATGGACAAAAAAATATGCATGGATGGGTAGCAATATGAGTGGCCCCTGGAGGTAACTAGTCTTGAACTCAGGGTGCAACCAGTTGGTGTTGCTCTAGCAACATAGAGCAAAGGGAAGTTGGGTTTAGAGTGAGATGCACTTAAGTAGAACTGGATTTTGACATGGATTCTAAGGTGGGTATAAAGGAAGAAAGGTCACTGGAGAAGACAAAGACAATAACAGGGTGGTGAAATCTGTGGCTTTCGGAATCATAAAAGTCAAAAGATTGCTGTAGTAATGGTACCAGAAGCAGGGAGCTGGAGAAGTTCAAGACTGAGGTCAAGAGTTGGGAATGCTCAACTGAGATTATGGAGAGACTACAGTCACTGATAATGATAAAAGTGTGAATGACCAGCTAAGGTAGGATGAAGGACAAGATCACAAGAGGAGAGAAGGACAAGAAACTAAGAAGCCAGGGCTGGGGATGTGGCTCAAGCGGTAACGCACAGGGCGCTGGGTTCCATCCTCAGCACCACATAAAAATAAAATAAAGATGTTGTGTCCACCGAAAACTAAAAAATAAATTAAAAAAAAAA